TTCTTATATATTGTAATATTGTATGCTAAATTAATTAGTGGCCGCTATGGCCCTCTTTACATTTGTACGCAAGTTCAGAAGCGGCCGCGTTATTATCCGACAGTCGTACGTTCTTCCGAACCACAAATTCTGAATACTTCTTTAAATACTTAATTCAAATCTTCATATTTCACATCAATTCTGTCTTTAGTTTAATCTCAAGACACACTACAAAGTCAATATATAATATCTAGAATCAGAGTTAAAGAATCATCAAAGAGTGTCTCTCACAGTGAATGCATGAACTAGTATAAACAATCTTACATTTATAAGAGTTACATGTTATTATATTGATGAGAACTGAACTTATTAAGAGATATTAATTGAATTTGAATCATTGATCAGTAGTCATACTGAGGATTATATAACAGAGATATTAATAACTGTGATTAAAAATAACTATTGAGATATTAGTCTCAGTCTTCTTATAATTACAACTGACAATGCTGTGAATAACTACACTATAATGAACAGCTTAGAGTAAAAATTGACTTTGTATTTCTGAAATGATAAACAAGGTCATATTCTCTACATTGCTCATGTGATTTAACTTGTGATATAAACACTGATAAAGAATCTTAATATCAAGATAAAGAATAATGAGATAGCTGATTCTTGAAATAAGAATAAGATGAAAGTGATTACTCAAGTAACTTTTACATTTACTTTATAAAAGATAATGTTTTTTGATAACACTTTTTAATATTGCTTTTTAATAACACTTTTTGATAATACTACTGTTAATTTTGAATAGATTGACTAATAATTTAAATATCACAGATTCAAAACATTGCTAATGCAATTTGTATCTTCTCTAAATAATAATAATGATTTCATAATATTTAATAAATAAACAAATCAGTCACATCACTGAATATGATACAGAATGTTAGAACATAGTAAAGTTCAATATATGAGATAACTATTCAGATTCTTTGATTATATCAGATAATTAATCATTGAGTGCAATACTCTGATTGAGAAAAGATTCAGATATTGAAACTTTCTGATATGAAGTGAACTCAGTTGAAATATGTGATTGATTTACTGTTTCAGTTTTATAAGATAATAAAGACAGTCTCAATCACTCATACATCAATGCTGCAGTCAGTCTGATAAGTGTATAACAGTTTATTTACTCATCTTGAGAAGTAGTTGAATCACTTAAAAAGAAATTCAGTCTGAAATAATGCTATAGCACAGGCTATTATTACTGTAAGAAATAAACTAGTATATTACTACAGTAAAACTGAACAATCTTTTACAGAGTACTATACTATAGCAGCTCTACTAGATCTCTCTTATTAAGTTAATATCTATACTTCTCAAGATTGAACAGAGAAGAAATGAGACTCATATATTAAATTAGCCTGAGACTACTACAATGTCAACTATCAGAGATTTGAATAAGCAGATATTCAAGATATGAAGACAGTGAAATACAATTCTCTAGTAAGTAATGATCTTTGATAACACTTCATATTTCATAGAACTATAATACTAACTTTGAAACAGAACTTATATACATTGATTGCAACTGAAAATCAGGTAAAACTACATGCTTGTAAAACTAAATTTGACTGCTATCTTCAAGATAATCTGACAAATTTACACATCAAATTAATTCTAGAGTTATGAAAAATTATTAAGAGTACATATTCAACTGTTACACTGATGATGCATGATATTCTGATAATTTCATTGACAGAGATGAGAATGAAGTAAAAGTTCAACTCAAGTCAAGATATTTATCACTATTATCAGAGACAATTACAAGAAGAAACAATTAAGAAACTCATGATTATAAAACATGAAATTATCAGACAGTTTAATATCTCTGATCACAGTATATCAGAGAAGTGTAGTTTTCATGAGAAAGTAAAGAATAAACTTGTACAAGAATGTATTTAGTTGTTTCATGAGTATTATTAATAATCATTATCAAATTCTGATTATATAAGCAATCACTGAATGAATCAAATGAAACTGATTTTAATCTTCAGTCTCAGTCTCATTCTGATTTTGAAAGAATGATTATCTTTCACAGTTTATTCTGAGAAATTACTCTCATTTCACTGTTCTTGAATTAAATCTGGTTATTTTTCACATCATTTTTCTCAGAAATGGTTCATTTTCAGATTTTTTTAAGGCTTGGTTCTGGTGAGACTCACGTCAAGAAATGTATAAGATCAGATCAAATGAGATCAAATATGAAATTCATGGTTCTGCTGATCAGTCTAGATATCTCTAGAATTAAAGAATGAATAAGATGAATAGACTTATAGTTCTCAGCTAAGAAGATAAAGCTAATTCATTTCATTGAAAGAAAAAGAGATTAAATAACAGAATTCATCACAATAAATAAATACATTATTTTATTATTATCAGAGATCAAGCTTCTGAGAGTATATTTTAATCAGAAACTAAAATAGAAAACATATATATAATATATAGTTAAGAGAGTCATTAATATATATATTATTATCAGACATCTATTTCATCTATAATCAGAATAGATAAGACAGCTCTACATTATTTATATAATTCTCAAATTAATATACATCTTCACAGTATGATATAATCTCTTAAAAAGAGTTATATAAGTTAAGACTCTTATCAAGATTCAGTAAACAGCTCTGATCAGAATTCTGTTCACATTCTGAATAATAATAATATAAACTCTTAAAATAAAGATATATATTCTCTCTTTACACACTCAGCTGTAATAGTAAGTCTGAAATATTATTATCAGTCTCTGTATACTCTTATAATTTTATCTAATACATGAGCCTCTTAGAAGAGTTATAACAGATATAATCTGTAATAAAGACAGACATTACTACTCACTAGAGAATATGATAAGAATATTTCATAGAGAGAAGATAAAATTAATAGAGATAATTAATTCATATCTCTCAGAATTATGACAGAAGTCAGTACTCAAAGATATCTATCTTAACTCTAACAGAATCAGAGTCATTGAGAGAGCTATAAAAATAATAAAGAATTTAATTAAGACAGTCTTTACTGATACTATAAAGAAGAACTTAATACTTGAAGTAGCAGCACTGATTATAAATGAATTATATTATATTCAGTATAATATACAAGTTAGTATTAAGTGAGAAAAGTACTGAACTATTATAATAGCTGAGCTGCTAGTAATATATTATGAACTCTATCTAATATAAAGATCTTACTTAAGTGAGAGAATATTATCTTCTTATTAATATTATATATATATCATTCTTAGTGACTTTTATATTACTCTTTGAGTCATTATAAATATCTTAAAACAAGTTAAAGAATAGATAATTCAGAATATTCTGTATATAATAAAAGAGCTGAAATTTATATAGATATAGATCTCTATCTTCAGTGAGTATCAGAGTACAGTGAAATTAAGAGAAATAAAATAACTAATTAACTTATCAAGCAGTCAATTAACTTAAACTCAATATATAATTTTTCAAAGCCTGTCTCATATCTTAGAGAAGTCAGCTGTAACAGTATTATATAAAAGTAAAGAGATAAATAATTCTCAATAATAAAGAAAACTTATCTGTAGAAGATAGATGCAGTTCTTTCAGATTAATATATCTACTATCTATATATCACTTTTTCAAGATCTTGAGTAAGACTTCTGATATAACTCAGAACAGGTTACTTATAACTGAATAAATTCTGAAACTGAATAAAATACACTGATAATAATAAATATGAATATGAGATAAAAGAATTAGTTTATTATATTCTAGTAGACTATTTAAGACTGCAGTAATAATATTAAGTTCTGTAATAAAAGATTAAGAACAGATTTAATAATATCTCTCTAATACTAGAGAGTAAATCATTAAACTGAATAATAAATGAGACAGAATGAAAAATCAGTAGAAGAGATCTTAATACAATTCTAGACTTCACTGAAAGCTTAAAAAGATTTTAAGACAGAGATAACTAGAGTAGATCACTCACAGACTCTGATAAGATATTAAGATTGTGTATGTAATTAGACTTGAAAGAATAGATGAGAGTAGCTGTAATAATAATAGCCTGTATATTCTAATGAGAAAGAGGTCAGAGTAGCTGATTCAATTAATCAAATTAATCAATCAAGGTTGCGAAACTGTATCAATACTGTATCAATACTGTTACTCTTACTTAAAAGATCTTGAAAGTTATCTCAGCAGGCTTAGACTCTCTGACTCAGTTTGAATGAGTTACAGTATTATTATTAACTAATTCAGTATGATACTAATCTACTTTTAATACAAGTTATATACTCAGAGCAATTCTCATCAGAGAGTCTGAGAAGAAACAGTTTCATCTTCAATGAAGATTCTCAAGATTTACAAGAATTTTTCAAATTCTTTAACTTTGACTTTCTATTACTATATATTCACATATCTTTGAGATTTGAAAATCATCTTAGCTTATAGCTAAAGAGAAGAAGAATAGAAATATTTCTTTAATATTTTAAAAAAATCTATATTTAAGATAGATGTATACTCTTGAAAATGATCATATTTTTTGATCTTAGAATTTCTAAGAGTTTTTTTTTATATAAGAAATTGAATTAAAATTTCTGTGTTTAAAAACACACTAGTTAACTTTGAGATAATACTTCTATTCTAAGAACTTGAGATATGAATATAAAAATCAGATACATTATGAGAACATTATTATTCTAAGATTCTAAGATAATACAGAAATGATGAATCTATGAAGTTGAGTTGAAATTCTCTTTCATACTCAGAGTACTGAGTAAATTATTCTTATATTACTAATAATCAGGAATCATTTCTTCTCAGATACTTTGTAAGATATTATCACTCACATGACCTGATTTTACTATTTGGATTAGCTTATTGCTTATTTGAGATTAGCTCATGACATAATCATCAATCCAGTGTTAAAACAGCAATGAATATCTGGAGAAGCGTCTGAGCTTGCTGAGATAACTTGAAAGAGTGTTAAGTTATTCTTTTTCTTCCCTTTGTTCTCTTTGTTCTCTTTGTTTGATTTCTTCATTTCATTTCACTTTACTATTTCTTCATCATCACTACAACTATTACAATACAGATCGTCTTCCACGCTTCCTGTTGATATGCATCTAGAAATAGGATTTACAGAAGTAACTAACTTTCATAGACTATTGAACTGTTCAACGCGGAAAACGCAAAAGTACAGACAATCAAACATTGCACTGGACGGAGAATGCAATTCATAAGATTCAGCGTTAGTTGTCACTAGATACAACCACACGTCCGAAATCATTTTACAAATAAGGCTGAGACAGCCAGTACGTGCTTCTGTGGTCATGGTATCCTAATTGTACATGGTCTCGAGAGGCCGCGTATGATTGAATGCACGAGCGAATTCCTCGTTTGATGCCGCGGCCATATTCGCCACTCAAAATCCGGAATTTCTAATTCCGAATGCCCAATTTCTTCATTGGTGCAAAGCAAAGATAGTTCTATTTTTGGGTAACTAATTTTCCTTTTGATTTATTAGACTTTCCAAAAAGAAAACAAAAGACGCATGTATGACAGAAAATCAAATCGTCTTGGGGTGGAAATCCCGTATGTGCTGTGTCACGGCATCGTTGCGAGAAAAGGTCTTTTCCTCTGTACGTAGGCGGCACCGCAGCTTTTGCTTGAGGGTGTTGTGGATTGTATCTTCGTGCCTTATAAGATTGTAATGACGAGAAAAGACGGAGTTGCAAGGCTTGCTAGAAGGATTGATTTCGCAGCGGCGGGGTTCTGCGGATTTTTCACCTACTTTTGTCAGTTAATCATACTCACCATGTCAATGCTGTTTAGAACACTGTGCTTACGGTAGTTTCATTGAAAAATTCAGTTTTGTATGCGCCACGGTTGAAGCCCGTTAGGGAAGTCGCGATGATAGATGTCCTTCGTCAGGCCATTGTACGGCTCGATGCTTCATACGCGTCATCCGCATCTGAAGACAAGACGCTGAATAGTTTGTTCCAAATTGAGTGTTTACTACCTTCACAACTTCTCTCCAACATAAATTCCGTTCTGTGCTCAATAATTGAACAAGATCGTTTTCGCGGTCCATCTGTGATGATCTTGACCTTCGCCCCGAATTTCTTCGCGCCGACCCGGATCGGCGGCGCTGTGAGACTTCTACCCCTTGACTTCTTTTTCTGACACGCTGCATTTTAAGAAGCGCAGCAGGGTTTGGCGCAATATTCACATGGCATTTTCCAGAATCGGGTCGCATAACTACAGTTCTAGGTTGCGTGGCGCCAGTGAGAGGTCTTGAGCCAAACCCTCCCCCTTTGATTCCGTTGGAAAATGACTATCCGGTGTATCGGGATGAGGAAGGTCATAAGTGAAGATACTAGGTTGCACGTAGTTTGTGGTAGTCGGTCCACTTATCCCAAGTCCATGTGTTGGGGATTCAATAATATCATGATATTGGAAATCATGATTGCTCTGTGACGGGTTCTGTCTTGGCTCAAGAAAAGGTGTGGCGCAGAGACTAATTGGCGTCGGCATGGACCAATTTGTATGCGCTGTACCACTGTATGATATCTGCTTTTCAACCTCATCCTCATGAGCATCAGTACGCTCCTCAGTATTAATGATATTTTGCTCTTCAACTTCAACCTGGTCCGAATATCGTGGATATTGAGGAACGTAGTGGGGTTTGAAAGCAAGTGAAAGAGATGCAGACAATTGCCTCGATTGATCAGAGATTATGCTGGCTCGCTGCTCGCCTTGATATGACAAGATGTTGCTTGATACTAAATCGTTTCTATCCCGCACTTCGAAACAGCTAATAAACCTGTCAGTAATCTCGCACAGTTGGGTTGGTATACTATTCCACATACCCGTCAAACCGAGTGACATCTGGAAATCCCCAAAGATCCACTGGTTTCAGTGTTCTTGAGTTGCTTGACTGCTCTTCAATCCACTGATGCTCATGGCTGAGCGGCAAATTCTGTTGTGCTTTTGCATTCATCTCGTGTGATATAATGAGGGGCTGAGTTCGAGAGGCTTCTGGGAAAGACCAGACAGTGAAGTATATCAAAATACAGATCAAGACAGGGTCACTCCTATCCCTTTATGCTTGCGGACAACCAGCCAAAACCAGTAAAATGATGAAAATATGAGCAGGACCTGCCAAGCGGAGTAGCCGTTTTTGACAGCCCACCTCTTGATTGTTTCCGGGCGCCGGTACCAAAATCGCGCATGCATGTAACAAGGCGCGTAACAAGGCAAACGGTTCATATGGCCCTTCCCTTTGCATAAGGACAAGCAAGCGAAAACCATCTCCTGTCGGGATATGGACCCGTACAAGCCACCAGTTGCAATGGGAGCCCATCCCCAGATTCTAGCGGTGTATCGTTTCCCGGGTCGACGTAAGGCGCAAACAAGGCAACGAGCGGGCGGACAAGATGCATCAATCAGGAAAACACAGCCGCCATTAGATCACAATCTCCGTCACCCCAGTCTGATGATCCAGTGAAGGCAAACAGGCGCTGATGATGTCCTGGGCTGCTGGATGACAGGGCTTCGGATTTCTGTTGGCAAAATGTTAGGCCGGCCGAGAAAGTGATAAAATACATTAGCCAACGCCAAACATCACAGCCACATCAGCAATACCCCAATCCAAGGAGTCAAAACCATTCCAAATGTCATCAGACACCTTTGAGATGGCCATCAGTAAGAAACAATGTCACAGTTAGATTGTCATCCAGGGCGAAACCCAAAACAGTGCTCCGTCTCCAAAAATTCTCCCGGCCAGAATGTCAAGGCCGGACGCTTGTGGAGCACCTCTCATTGATATAGAAGTGATGCACAACTTACGCGCCCTCGACTGGTATAACCTTGTCATTATTTTAAGCTTAAAGTACGTGTAGCCATTGTGTAACCGCTAGCTTTATAAGTCAGGAGGATAGTCCAGAGTGCAGTAACAATCGGCTCGCGCCCCAAGAACAGACCATATGCAGTAAGGCAGTTATTGAGGCCCGTACAAGCCATCACTTGCAATGGGAGCCCTTAATTCCAGCTGTGTATAGTTTAGAATTTGACATAGATAGCTGAGGTTTTCAACAGCATCCGGAATTTCCAATTTTCCGGGATGCACTATTTCTTATTGGCGCAAGCAAGGATGTCTATTTTGGGGTAACCAATCTTTTTCTTCAGTTTAACAAAATTATCAACCAGGAACAAACGACGCAATGGATGACAGAAAATCAAACAAAGCCCCTACATCAGATAGCGACGAGTAAACAACATGAAATAAGGAATTCGGAACTACGAGCGCCCAGGCTTGTATATCAATCAGCATCCTGCAACCCATGTTACAACCAGTGACGGAACCTCTTTCGCTTCCCATATTCACTATCGGTTTCAACTATCCTCTATTCCATGTTTTCAGAATCGCCACATAACCGCAACTCCAGGCTTCACGCCATCCTCGGTATTGAAGTTTTAGTTTCACTCCACAATTCTTACACGCGCTGTCCAACAAGTAGGCTCTGTCTTCCCAATATTCGGCGTATGAATGAATGGATACCAGCTTTAACTCTGCTGAAGCTGCGGTGATATAATCTATCAGCAATTGGGGCAAGGTGTCTTCGTTCGCTTCATCGTTCGCCTCTTTCACGTAAAGACATTCCAATGCGGGAGGCAGATGATTGATTAGTGGCGATTGACGTGATACTAGGGATTCCGCCGGCACTTTGAGCGTGGTGAGGGTTGGCAGCGTGGCAAAGTTAAAGGTGGCTAGATGCACCTCGCCATGAAGGTGGTTAAGGCAAAATGACCTAAGGCTGCCCAATTGAGATAGCAAGCGTGCGACGCTTTCATCCGCCGATGGGCTGGTCTCCCATCCCGCCGTTTTCACCAATTCGTTCATTTCGTCCACCTGTCTGGTATCATCTTTTCTCAGATCACCGATCTCGATCGTTTTGATATGTCCAGCCAGGGTTGAATCTTTATTGATCATTGCCGACAATTTCAACACATGCAAATATGCCTTCTTGGAGGCGTCCAAGTTTACTGTCTCATAAAGACATGGCTCGATCGAGTGGAGGAAGGATTTGCAGGTACGGACTAGATGTGCGATGTCTTTCGTGTTCAGGTGGCCCGCAATCTGCCGTTTCAGTTCAACGGGTAGTGTGGTGATATTTGCCTTCACGTCTATGAACTCACTATCGGGGACACTCGGACGAGACATCATGTCACCCATTCCAATCAAGAAGTATCCCTAACATATTCCGATTAGTACTTCCATTTATCTGGAGTCGATAGAGCTTCTTGGCCTTACCCTGTGTGGAAAATTGACCTGGCTTTGGAACGGAGGCTGAGGTCTGTTCCTCAACTCTGTTAATGCAACAGCAGCGATCCTCTCTCCCTCATCTGGAGAATTCAACAGAGATCGGACATCCATTCTCAACAACTCGCCACCCGGCAAAGAATAGCGTGTCTGACCGGCAGATAGAGCTGGTTCGCTGAGGCAGGGTCAAAAACGGTTCGTGTGCTGAAGTGCACTGGCTCTTGTTAAAACCTGATTTCTTTGTCGCCGAAGAAATATTTTGACCAACTGGACAGATAACCACACCGCGGCTATTACAACTGTCCAGAAGGCCACACCTAGCAAGATTAAAGGAAGGGTAAAAACTAGAAATAAGCTTAAAATCCTTTTGGAACGGGAGCCGAGGAGATGGTTGAGATTGCTCATTTGTTTCAGATTCTGTGATTCCATGCCAGCTAGCATTGTGTATGCACAGAATAAGAGATGAGGGAAGGGTGGGTGCAAGGCCTCTCTTTATGGAGTCTAGCAAGAGACACAACAAGGTCCAGAGTGCAAGCCAGCCTTACCGGGGAGCTCAGACTGGGCCCCTGGAATTTGTTAGCACGGAACAAACGGTTCGGATCTTCGCTTCGCCCAACCCAACTGGGGATCAATATGTGCATGGCCATCCATACCCAATAAGCCACGAAGGTACAGGAGGGTTGACGGCATTTGCTTATGTACGGTATGACACCATTCATTTCATTCTCCAGCAGCATTTCCACCAAGCAACGACCTAATCGCTCTGGGTGTGTTGCTTGGAGATTTGTGATCGTTTTGGATGAGTTGAGATTTTTATTGATAAACACATTAATATGCACTATGGAACAGGTCTTCCTCCAACAGGTCTGCCTCCAGTTGCTCCTTCCTTTCTTCACAAACAACTTGTAAATCAAGCATCTTTTCCTTTAGGTTCTCTACCCCTTGACGAAGCTTAGCATCTTGCAATTGATGACATAATGAGCACGTATACATGATCTGCTGTATATGTCCATAGTCTTCCCAGAGAGCGGTTATATGCCATCTAAGCCCATCCGATTTCCCTGTTGCTACATCCATACCCAAAGCGCACGACGTAAAACCGGGCAGCCTTTCAAACAACGAAGAAAGCTTGCGGAATGCTATGGAAAATTCTTTCAGATATTTTCGTATATCACCAATTGTCTCGGCGTCGCTAAGGTGTCGAAGAGGTTCTTCCAAGGTGGCTTCAATATCCCATCTCGTTTGGAGTAACGCGCGATAGAGATCATCCAGGTCGGTATTATTTTGTTCAATATCCTGTCTCGCTTGGGGTAACGCGCTATCAAGAGATTCCTGAATAAGATAAGTATTAAAGAACAACAAACTTGCGGAAGGGCTTAACTTACCATGATGGAAAGGCAACTTGAAGCTGATGATATGCTATGCTCTTTGTGGAAGCCTTGGTACTCTTCTTCGTGGCCCTGTGAGGCTCCCGTGGATAACGTATTGTATTTTGCTAGATGAGTGTGGACGAACATGGCTATTCTTATAGCTGCTCGGAGCCTCACAATTAGATGATTGACTAAAAGGTGCATGGCGAGCGTTGGTCATCGAAACAAGCAAGAGGAAAACATTTAGTTCGAGTTGATACTTATTGCAGGGGCTACATCAGGGTTTGCAAGAAGCAGTTATGGGATCAGTGCATGCTTTTTAGCAGCCCACTTGTCAATTCCTGGTCAACAATGAGGCGTTTGTGCCAATACTGCGCATGGATCCTGGCAGGGGCACACTTGTAGGCGAAAAGAATTGCTGCTTCAATGAGTGAAGAATAATGGTTAGCAAGACAGCAGATAGGAAGATTGGATGGGTAGTTCTGAGGGCACAATTAGCGCCTGTCCTTCTGCCACTGAACTTGTGATTGGCTAAAAAGGCGGCGAGGACAGCTAATTGTGCCTCGCCTCCAGACAAGGACAGTAGTAGCTACCCGACCTCCCTGTAGTAGAACGGCCGAGGAAGTGGTAAAGAGCAGGTGAGCAGCAGACTTAACTCATTGCAAAATATATGTTCTACATCTTGAAGTATTGTCACTGGCTTGAAAGCGATAGGGTCAAATTCTCAAGGAGCTTTTTATTAAAGACGCTCCGTGTATCCCGTCGGAAAAATTGTTGATCCGAGAGCCCTCGAAAATATACTCAGCAAGTTGAATTAAGTTTCTACCACACTAGATACCATCTAAGTAACGGAAGCATGCTGGGCAATACTCATGCCCACATACGCATCTGAGCCAGTTCCTTCGCAGATTAACCCAGGTCTCCCGTTTTGTTGCCTCTCTCCAGTTTCTGCTTCAGTTTAGAGTCAGGCAACATACAGAGCGCATCCCCATCACTGTCGATAGCTTGGCTAAGACAGATCGCCGGGACTGTGCTTGTTTGGAGGTTTGTCTGAGCATCATGACAGCTATTCACTTGGTTCGGTTCGTGTGATGGGTCAACAGATCTTTCCCTACGCAGTCTCCTTTCGTGCAAGCACTCCGGACACGATGCACATGAATGGCCACATCGTCGACATTCCCCCCCACCGCTAACATCCTTCTCACATCTGCAGCAGTAGAGTCTCAGACGTTGGCGAACTGTTTTTTGAACATATCCTTCCTTGGTTTGGGTTTTTCCCCGTATTTTGTTTAATAGATCATGGGCCGTGGTTTGGTCGTCATCTTGATCCTGAGATCTGTCGGTTCTTTTATTGGGTTCTGCATTTTCTCGCATCGCTTGGGTGCTTGCTCTTTTCCGTAATTGCCGGTCCGAGGTCAAATCCATCTCTGAAATGGTGTTAGCTACACAATGAAAAGAACATTCTAAGAGAACCATATACCTCTAAAAACCAGAATCACTTTGCTTGCTGCCGTGCCTAAAGTAACTGTTTGTGTACTCAACTGTACCTTCGCCAGACCATGCAAGCGAAGATTATCGTATTAGCTCTGGAGAAATTGTGCTTGAGTCTTTAGCTTTAATATCCTTCTGGTGTGATAAGCCTGTCAAACAGGATACTTACGGGTTCGCCTATTTTGTGAAGTAGAAGCATCCAGCCGACAAGTTTCCCAGTATGCCTTTCCACAGCAAGGATGAAGGCAAGAATGGAAATGAAACTCGGAAGCTAGGTCAATTAGTATTGTTATGGTATTTTATTTAGACGGACTAAATCTATTCAACGTGAGGCAAATAAAAACACACTGGGAGATGGTGAAAGGGGAACTAAGAAACTATATTGGCGTCCATGGATCAGTGCACGTACCCTAGCCGGTACGATTGAAGCGCAGCTTCCCCGTCGCTACAAGCAGTCAATTCATTATATCGCAGGTCCCGCCGATAGTCCCCCTCAGACCCCTCGCATAATACAGTAAATATGCCCGTCTCCAAGGTCGGCTGGTCCGGATAGTAAATTGAGACCACCGCCCTAATTTTCTGGAAATTACTGTTAGACCACCACAGCAGAAACAGGGGAGGTTGACGTACCGGATGTGCTGATCCATGGCGAGCCGTCCGAACCTCGTCTAGTTGTGTATAGCTTTCCTTGGTCATTGATGTGGCCCCGGTGCCAAAACCCATTACGCTCTTTATCACCATGGCCCTATCGCGGCTTAGAATGAAAGGGAGGCGAGCAGAACGATTTTCTTGGTGGGGGCTGAGCTGGCCTAGATTGGATGTGTCGTCTGGGGAGTTCGGTAACGGCACTGTGTTCCCCGGTTCGCCAGACCGAGTGGAAATATTTCAAGCCATATAGGCACCAATAGTGATGATCAACATCGCCTGGAGCCATGTTAGCACATGTTGGAGCGAGATCCATGGTTTCACTGAACTTACTTCAATCCAGAGGGGCCAGTCGTGGACGAGTCTGCCTGCGGCAAACCCTGCCGTTACGATAACAAGAAATGCATGGATTGTAACTTCACGGATTACGGGGCCCTGAGATGGTATACCGCGAATTCCGCGCCAAAAAAGCAGACCGGCAATCACAAGTACTGTGTAGTCGATAGACACGACCACAGCTGTACCTTTCACCGACGCCTCGTAGGCGACCGAGCTAACTCAATCAATGAGCACAAGGCCTATCAAGACCGGGGAGAAGAGCACACCATAAGATCAACCCGAGCTTTACCGTCGGGGACAGAAAACCATATCCTAGAAATAATCGATGCAGCAGGGCGTTCGTGAGAGGTCCAGCCTGGATTTTGGTCTGCCGAATCATCTAGACATCGCGGTTAGCAAGAACCAAAGCAGAGGACTGGGAATAACGTACCTCAAGGGCTAGCGGGAATGCTGTACATATTCCCAAGGGATAGTAGAATGCTGGCGTATCTGAAACAAGCATTTAGCATTTATCATCATCTTCAGTAGAGGGACTGCTCACCCCCGCGCCTTAAGCCTGATAGACCAATGCCAATGACAACAGCATTGACGCAGATAAAGAGAACGAAGATTGATGTCTCAGACAAACGGTCAGGCTGGGGGCGGTGAACAGTAAGCAGGATGAGATGCACCGCACTTAACACGATGAGCGCCGCCGACAGAAGCGCATATGAGATGTTAGGATACATTTTGCACAAAAAGGCAGCCAAATTGGTCCATTTTGAAATGATCCGTCGCGGAGCGATGTGATGTGGTTTATACCTCTTGAGCAGCCACTCCTTGTGCACCTCGAATGGGGCTTCTTCGATGGCCGAGGGGGTATGCCCGTCTTCATTTCAGCAAGTGTTGGATGACAAAAACTTGTCAAGGGTCAGGTACAGACACTATTGTTGTTAATCCCTTGTAGTCAGAGTTATTGCAACCCGCTGCGCTTTACATACTCTTCAGCAACCATCTTTCCCGACGCATCCCGCACGTACATCAATAGCATAGATAACCCTGGGTGATGGTACACGAGCAGCATTGGCCACGCTGTGATAGTCGATAATGCTGTCTTCATTAGGCAAATGGCGAGCCAAAGGGCTAAATTTCGAGCGCCACCCTTGTCGGGATTTGAGACCATCCAGGCGCAGCTGGTCCTTTTGGGGATGATAGTAGACTCCTGATCATAAAGACGAATTGCCTTGAACAACGAGATCAATTTTCCAGATAGCACCCCGCATTGCTGTAATGGCTTAGCTGATGAATAGCCGTAGGAGACTGCATGGTGCGAAGTGCACGCTCAAGCGCCATGATCTAGATGCAATCACATGTTTAGTAGTTTGGCTGATATAAAATACATGTCACATTTAGTGTTTGTTCAGCCGCCTGGTTGTGGGGGGGATTCCTAAAGTGGAATGGTTTCCCTAATCCAGCTGGTAAGGGAAACCCAAGTCAATCTAGAGATCACTTCTTGACTGACCACTTCTAACTCATGTCCATCTCTTCATCAGTCAGGATGGATTTCAAGCGGACCCTTATTACTGCTTTGGCACATTTCAATCCTTCCGATGTTATTCAATCACCGGTAAGAATCCTCAAATGATTGCTAGCTCAGAGCTAATAGAGAGTTAGGAACTTTATCATGGCTTTAGTTGCTTCTTCTCTCGAGAAAGTGGTTTGAATCTTCTGCAATTTCTGTGCTCTTCACATCAAATATTTCCTTCCCAGAGCACTCGAGCTATCTCCCAACTCATAGCGCGGCCTGCCAATTCTCAACTTGCTTCTGCTCCTCCAGCTTCTCCTCCAGCATCTCCTCCAGCTGCTCGTTGTTCTCCAGCTCCGTTGCTTCGTCAACCCAAAAGAAAGAGAAGCGCAAAAAAGGTGCAGCAAAAGAGGCTCCTGCACTATGAAGCAGGCTTCAGCGAGCTACAGAATAGTGTGATGAAAACAGCTGAGACCTACTTCAAAGATAAAACGACCTGCTGTGATTTGGTTGACATTTCAGTGCATCTGATCAACAGTCAACCTCTCGAAGAAACTGTTTACAAGAGCTTGTGGAAACGAAGTGTTGATATATTCTCAAAGACTGATTCCAAAGCATCTCGAGTACGCCGTCTTGAGGCAGGTCGAGCAGTACTGCAAAGAGAACGCTTTGCAAATGTCTATGCCGATCGATTGGGCATGCTACTTTTCCGTATTGAGCTTGATGAAATGATTCTTTCAGTTCCAGATAATGAATGCCGGCAGGGCATCGGCAAAGCGACAATAGCCTATGGAAAGTATGCAAAGGAAGCTGATGTGGATGTTGAGTATGTATCACAAACCAGATCTCTGAGCCGCAACTATGCTCGTCTTGTGACCATATGTGGTCCTGGAATTTTGGCATGTTTGAATGAACAACGTTCAAGAATGTGAGTGAGCCTCATGATCCATCATTACTATCTCTACTAATGTTTCTCTAGGTGGGAGAGGGGCTCTGTAGATGTTGACCTACTGCTTAAGTTTGTGAAAGATAAATACCCTGAACGGGAGAAGATCTTTCGCCGCCATGACCAACTATGCGCAAAGGCTATCCTCGGTGGGCTTAGAGCTTATGGATGGGAGGACGATGAGATTTTTCAGAGCAAGGGAGAAGTGTTGACGGCCGTGAGGAAATATTTCGGAGAGCCCGTGCAGGGAGCGACAAACAAAGAGCCCAGCAGCAAACGGCTATATCGCGGCTTGCAGGCACAGGATTTTGAACAACATGTGCCTAGAGCTTATCCATTAGGAGGTATGTTTTTTAGTACAGGACTGTCTGGAAAAGTTATCTAACGGTCTCCTTAGACCTCAGTCATCGTATAAACTCGCACAGTGACGCTCCAATGCGAGCTCTCGCTGCTGCTGCGACCCAACGCGAAAGCACATACCAGTTGCAGCCAACGGATTCGGTGCGCGCGGCGCCATTAAACATCATCCCCAGTGATGTTGGTAACACCCAAAGCAGGTTGAACCCTGGGGACTGTCAAGCTTATCAATCGCCGACTGTCCACACTCTTCCCAACACCAATGTTGAAACCCGCTTTGCCTTTTCTTCACCTAGGCAACCTTCAATTCCCTATTCTGTCAGTATCAATCTGGACTCCTGGTCTGCCTTTTCTCCATCCAGACAACATTCAATTCACCCCTCGGCGAATCTCCTTCCTTCTGCCAATCTTGACTCCTGGTCTGCATTTCTTTCACTCAGACAATCTTCAACTGTTCCACCAGATGCTGACCAACCTCCGATTGACCCCACGACGGCTGTTTATTCTACAGACATCAACCTTGACTCCTGGACTTCTTTTCTTACACCTGGACAATCTTCCGGGGGATGTTAGCCAACCTTCCATTAATCCCGCGAGGAACTTTGGCTCTATTTGTATCAATCTTGGTTACTGGTCTGTAGCCTGCACCAGCATCTCAACCCCGCCCACCATGGATCTACTTCTACTCCTCCGAACAGGTCAGGAAGCTCTAAACCCGAGTACTATTATGAACGCCTCCTTGTGGAATACATATAAGGCCTTAAATCGTAGATTCACTTTGTCATTCTAGAGTTCCACTTAGGGGTTATTTATCATTTGTTGAATTTCGCGGAAAATGGACAATTATCGCCCCAACCTGTTTTCCATCATCAATGTTGAAATCTGTATGTTTTAATGCGAACAATGGCTTCTCCCAACTCCAATCTATTTTAATGTTATTTCCCTCCTTGTCTCCGACATAGACTTGTGCATTCTCGATAGCGACTAAAGGGACTATCACAGTGTCGTGTTGTCCGCCAGCTGAAAATTTTCGTCTCAACACAGCAAGATGTGAAGACAGTGCGGAAACTCCAAGTAGTGACATTCTCTACACCAGATGTTAGATCATTCTATTTTGACATTGGGCATTAATCAACTAACTTTCTGGTAAAGCTTCTGCGCTTCCCCGACAATTGGTAGGCAGTCATTTGGAAGAGTGTATCGCGAAGCATCATGTGACGGGTCTGACCGGTGCACCGTGTCGTAGATGCTGTCAACTGCTCGGCTCGCAGAAGGGTGAAATTCTTTCGGCAGTTGTAAATATTCAATAGGATCGACAGTGGCTTGCATTTTATTTTACCAGGGCTATTGGAAATTGTTGGCGTTGTATTACGCAAGACCGAATCCTGAAATTCGCTCCGTAGTGTAATGTAGAAAGACAGAAATTGAGTTCCAGCGGAATTAATTTATGAAGATTCAATTTTTTTCTGTCAGGTTAACGGGGTGAAGATATATTCCTTAATGAGACGCAGCCTGCGGGGCATGGTGGGGTCGTGTGATTTCCGAATTGTTGTTCGGTCCTACATTTTGCCGAATTTTCGCAAACGGGTGGGCATTAAATCTCATAGAGCAGAATCTTAATCTCACCCGAGCCCGTTCCGAGAATATACTCTATATGGATAGATGTTTAATGTTTCCCACACGCCATTTCGGATAACGTTGGTTGGGCAGCTCCTGTTCATTCGCGTGGACATAATTTTCAGCCGGAAAAACTTCCGCCAGTTCGCCCCCAGCCATCGTCTAACGTAAAGAACAAATAGCTAGACTGTACCCTTTTCCGTTTGTAAAATTTATAGTAGCATGTATTGATATAGTCAACCGGTTACGCCGGCTTGTCTTTCCTGACGGAGGACGGTGGAAGCAACTGAATTCTTCCCTGTCACAGAATATGATTGGAGAACTCCAAATGGCACAAAAAGATCCTAACATCATCTAGCCAAACATTTTCTTTCCGCTAGACCGTCATATATTAATTGATAGAGTTCCTGGTTCACCACTCCAAATATTTAATCAATTATTGCGACAGGGTTTCTGTTAAGACACGAATTTCCAGTCGATTTGCGGAATGTGACTTGAAGCGGCATCAAAATCGTGAAGGATTTGATTGAGATATCTTCGAAGTACACAAGCCCCGCCACTGAACATTTTGAAATTTTGCTTGGCTTTCCTACCCCGCCCCAAGCAGCAAGCGCTTGTGTATTAACACGATCCGAAGAAATAGGAATAACCGTCATTTGTTGTCAAATAAAAGCGTGTAGGAAGGAAACTACGCGGAGAATGAAATAGGAAAAAGGGGTCAATATTCTTGTTGGGTAAAGACACATGTTAACAATCTCCTGGAAAATTGGAAGCGCGATGAAAATTTTTGCCCCTCAGCATATTTGCGCATGACATCCTGGGTCAATTCCAGGCGGTCCCGCCCACAGTGCTCCAATATAATTAGCATCCGAGTGTAAAACCAGTAGACAGAAGTTGAGAAGGGTCAGGAAAGACCTAACAAGGCAGAGATACAGAACAGATAGGAAGACTATGAATAGAGGAAGCTCTAGTGTGGAAAGAAAGCAATTCATGCAAGAATAACTTGTGTCACAGCAGGATGCTTCTTGCAAGAAGAGCTGAATTTCCAAGGAGAAGAGCAGAAACTGCTGTATGTATAGTAGTGCGCTGCATAGCTGCCTGAGGGCGGCTGGGACAGTCTATGAATAAATCAATCAATCAATCAATCAATCAATCAACAAACAAAACGAACTGGATGACGGGGCGACACTGGATGACGGGCGACACTGGATGACGGGCGACACTGGATGACGGGCGACACTGGATGACGGGTTTCCTGACCCTCCTCAACTTCTGTCTACTGGTTTTACACTCGGATGCTAATTATATTGGAGCACTGTGGGCGGGACCGCCTGGAATTGACCCAGGAGTCCTGTCCTGATTATCATCTTTGCTGCTTGTACCGCCATTGACGAGCTACACAGAATGCGTTTGATGTCCACGCATGGAGACTTGCCTGCCCACATTCGATGTCGTTCTTCTGCCCAGTTCCGGCATTCCAGAAGGATGTGTCTTACGGTCTGCGGTCCGTACCCGCACTGGCATTTGTCTGTGTCGGCCTTATTAATGGCGTGGAGGTAAGCATGGAGGCTGATCTTGCCTGTTCGCATCTGCGTGATCGCTCTGTGTGTTCCCATGTGTGTGTCGAGAATCACTTTTCCGGGTCGAGCCCCGAGTCGGAAGAGATCTCTGCCATGTTTTGCCTGTTCCCATTCGCCCTTCATCGCCTGACGGATGGTGGATTTTGTGGTTGCCAGCAGCGTCCATATCTGACCCGGTTCAGGTTGTTCAGTGTTTAAGGCAGGGTTAGCGGCCCGCTTTGCCAGTCTGTCTGCTTCTTCGTTTCCCGGCACTCCGAGGTGTGCTGGAATCCAGTGAAACTGCACCTCCCATCCGAGGGCCCGGAGCCGGTCGAGCGCTCGTATGGCCTCAGCAAGGATATACTGGCCGGATGGGTGCTTTGGGTTTCGTATCGCTTGGACGGCAGCTTGGTTGTCAGTGAAGATGGCGCATTTGCCGGGAGCGGTGCCAGCCGCATGGGCGTCGAGCACAATCTGCAGCGCCAGCATCAGGCCCCTGAGCTCCGCGGCGTACATTGCACATAGATAAAGATCATGAATAGAGAAAAGTTTGAAATTCAAAAATCTAAAAAACAAGTGTGAGCCTTCTTAAGTTTAAGGAGGTTTTCAGGAACTAAAGGACTGTGATATTTGATATTAAAGTGTAGTCTTTCTCAAGCTTAGAGAGCACTCAAAGAATTAAAACAATTATCTCACAGACTTTAAAGAAGAAATGTCTTAAGAATATCAAATAATCATTGAAGAACTGTAGATTTACATAAAAATTTAATTAATGTTTATAAAAGATATAGATATTGATATTTATAGTAATACTTTTTAAAAGTCTTTTTACATTGTAATTTATAATAAATAAATTTTCATCTATTCACTCTTATTCTCAAGTTTTTCTTGTATAATCTCCTTCTTTTCTCTGAGCTTCAGATATTTTGTGTAGTTCTCATATATTATTTAAGCTGAAGAAGAATAATGTTTCTTCTATTACTGTCAGAGTATGTCTTTTCAGAGCTGTACTGAATATGACACTTACTATATCTTTATCTGATAATAAAAAGTGACTGCTTGAAGTATCAGACTTGTTAAAATTAATTATAAAGTACTGATTATCTTCATGAATGAGAAGATAGATATCTTTGCAGTAATAGTTATCAAAGTAGTTATATAGTATATGTTAAAGTATATCTTTTCATTGATAATATATCTGTATGAGACTACTGTGCACAGTTCATGACTTCTTAATATACTTTAATAATTGTATAATGTAGAATTTGATTTTAATAAAGATAGAGAATCTGAAATGAGAGTTATCTCTTAACATTATAAAAAGAGATCTTAATTTATAGTTATAAATAAGTATTATCTAGAAATATGATAATCTGTCTTTATTAAGTTAAGAGTTACTTTTGAAAAGTGTACTTCTATTAAATATTATTTCAGATAATCAGTTATTTTACTATAATGCTTACATACTTTAATTATAATATTGTGATTTAAAATCATGACTCACATCATGACTTGCAATGTCTCAAGACCTTCTTGAAAAATGACTTATAATAAAATGTGACTTGTAATAAAACAGCAGTATAATAGAAATGACTTAAGATAAAAACTATCTTGTAAAAGTAATTATCAGTTCTTAAAATATATATTTTTTTGAAACTAAGAATTTAAATAACTGATAAAGAGATAGAGATAATTGCATTATAATTCACATTTTAAAAAGTTAATATTGTAGTGAGACTTGCATTGCCTTAGATATTGATATATTATATATAATATAATAAAAAGAAATGGAAAAAATGAATGAAATAATTAAAACTATTTTTGAATCAAACCTGCTGTCTTTGATTCTGTTTGTTATAAGAGATGATCTTTTTTTTTTTTTAAATAATTTCTTTTTCATTGAAATTTGTAATGAAAATTGCAATTTTCAACTAATATAGATTTAAGATTGAGTTAAACTCAAAGTTTTCTCTTCATAAATTTTAATAAGAAATATATACACTATGAAATTAAAAGCTAACTTTTGTAGAGTAATATTTAAAAGTTAATTTTTTCAGAATCTCTGTCATTTTATATTTTCTATTTTTAGATTTGAGCTTCTGAAAGTATCTATAATATCAAGTACTATTATTCACTTCAAGAACACTGTTCAAGAAACTTCATCTTACTCATCATTTTTTATCACTGAATAAAGAGATACTAAGTATCTTATAACTGTAGAAAAGACACAGTGCAGAGAATAATAAATAACTATTAAATTATTTAAAATATAATTAATATTCTGAATGATATAAATATCAGTTATATTTTAATTAATACATGCTGTTAATAATAAAGTGAGTTATAGATAAGTCTTATCTATAATTTCTTCATTAATTATCTTAGTCTTAGTATCACTTGATTTATCAATATTTCAGAAGATAGGTTTCTTTGAATCACTTTCTTACAGAAGTTTAATAATTTAATAATAATAACTATCTGTACAGCAGAACTGAGTTCTGATTCTCTAGTTTATTTATAGAATAATACAAGATTTACAGACTATATCTATAATTAAATTTAGTCTCTTATTTTTCAGCTATATCAGTGTGAAAAGTGTTTATCTGACTTTATAAGATCTTAACTCTGAAAACTAGCTGATAATATAAGATATATTATAGAGTAATATACTCATATTCATTTCATCTATACTTTATTAATTATTAATTATACAGATTAAATCTCTGATATTTTTACTTTTTTCTCTTATTTATATTTATCTACAGTGATCAGTGACTCTTCATTTATAATATAAGTTAATAACTTATTATATATTGATAAAGTATTATGAATAAAGATTCTGAGTCTCTTATCTGATACAATGTATAGATTATCAGATATAATATTATCTTCAGAAAGTGATTTCTTATTACTATTAATTTATCTCAGATCTGAAAACCTCTTCAGTAATTCACTTATTATATTAAATTCTAGTAAAATATCTAAAACAGCTAGTGATCTGATTACTAGAAATTTTATAAATATAAAAGAGAAGTATGAGATATTAAGTAAAGATCTGATAAATAGACTAAGCTATAGAGAAGTTAAAAGTATAGAAGTATTAACTATCAGTGATTAACTGATATTATTCAGAGATATAAGAAAGAATCTCTATAATTAAGAAACTGATACAAATATTTTAAAATTATGAAAAAAAAGATTCAGATCTCTGAGTAAGATCAGTTAATCTTACAATATTAAGTTATTTACAGAACTTATAGTTATCTTAAATAAGATATTTAAGTCTGATAATATGTATATCATTCTGATTTAATAGAGTGATATGAAATATCACTGAAAAGCATCTTTTTTAATATAACTATTTTTCATTATTATAAGCTCTGTAGCTATTAAATAGCTAGCTGAGACATGCACTACTACTCAACAGTATAATGACTTAATTATATTATATTCTATAGAAAATAATATAATACTGATAAGTATTCTAGATATACTAGATATAGAAACTGTAATTTATATAATACTTTACTGATTTTTTCTAATATATCTATTGAATTAATAACTTCATCACAAGAATCACTATAAATATTAAAAGTTAGCACTGATAATAGTGAAATAGAATATCAGAAAGCTAGTTAAAGATACTAATACTTTAGACTGAGTTAATATCTACATTTTCTGAAATCTACTGATTATATTCTATTCTTATCTCAAGCTACTGAATAAAGTTAGACTGACCGTGTGACTGTGTCTGGGACCAGGACCAGATTTTTTGATAGTCTCATTATCAATTTGACTGATCCCATTACACGGTTTTAACATTAGATAGTAGTCTCATACTGTCTCAGTGAGACTTACTGTCTACTCTTGTCACATTTTCCAAATGGAATCATGATTTCCACTTCTCAATTTAAATTATTTTTATTGCTTTAAATGACTTTAAATCTCATTTGAGTGTTATCAAAAAGCATTACTTTTTTAAAAATTAAAAATAGTCTAAAAAAAACCTTAAAATGTCTAAAAATAGTAACTTTATGCCAAGAATGGGACTAAATGGAATTAAATGAGACCACTTTCTTATTTTTTTCAAGTCATGGTTTCATTTTAAGATCTGATATATAGTCACTTTACATGTTTTTTTGATGGCCAGTCCCAGCAGGATTCACGCCAAGAAATGTATGAGACCAGATCAAATGAGATCAAACATGAAATTCATGATTCCAGCGGCCAGTCTAAATAAAGTGAATCTCTCAGTCAATGATCAGAAATATTAAGAAAAGTATATAAAGCTGAAGAACTGACTTAACTCAGTATATAATTAATATCTACTATAGTAGAAGTTTTTGTGAGAACTTCTTATACTGATATTATACAGTGAATTATAAATTAAGACTGATAAGTGTATTATTATAATAAAATAAAAGTTTATACAGTTAATCTCAATCAGAGTTAAAAGAATATTAAGTAAGCTGTTTTATATCTTTCTGAATATCTTATATAAGTATTATAATATCTTTCTTCAGAAGATAAGTTAGTTAATCTCTTAAAATATTAAGAATGTCTTACACAGCTGTGATACTGACTTGAATTATAAGTTTAAATATACAGATACTCTATCTCTTCTATAAGTACTAATAAATTTATAATATTTTATTAACTTCTATTAACTGAATAATACACTGACTATGAATTCAAACTTATAAATTAAGAACTCTTAAGACTGAATAGACTGTACTTAGAAGCAGTCAGATAGCTGAGCTAGAAAATACTTAGATTATAGTATTTAAATAGTACTCTGAGCTGAGATCTCAATCTCTTTACTGATAATTAAGAGAGTGTAAAATGAAAGATTAAATATATAAAGAGCTGATAAGAGATACTGAGAGATATAACAGTATACTGAAAGTAGATATATAAGTTAATAATTTTTAAATACTTTTTATCTTGTAATAAGATCAAGAATGTAGACTTTAAATTATCTCAGAATTATAACTTTATAGATTTAAAATATGATTAAATCTTCTCAGAATTTTATAATATTCTAAAAATAAAGATCTCTCTTATATAAAAGTATTCTGAGAACTAAAGATATCTTGAGATTATAAAATATCTCAGAAATCATGATATTCTGATATAAAGTATAAATCTCAGATATTAAGAGTAGTAATATTATAAGTGACTATCTTAAGATAAGTTAATTAAAATCTCTTAAAAAAAAGTATAATTCTCTCAAATCTAAGAGATATTCTGAGAATTAAAGATATCTTGAAATTTATAAAAATAATAATTTTTAAGCTTATAATAGCTGATTTTTAAGAAATCATCTTTCTCTGAGAGCTGTATCAAAGTTATGATTATATTAAGTGTAAGAGAAATATCTTAAGAAAATAAATTACTCTGTATATATATAAATTCTCTGCTATTAAGCACAGAAAAAAGTGCTTCAGATAAATATTTAATTATAAATATCTATATTTTAGTGAAAAAACAATGAATAACTGCAGATTTATATAATTTATATTATAAAGTACTGAAAATAGACAGCTGAAATAATACTGAGTGATATTTACTCTTACTCTTACTAAATAAGCTGACTGAAATAGAAAAACAGTACTTTCAATACTTATATTTTCAGATTATTCAGTGTGATTATTAAGATCTTGAATTAC